AATAAATAGTCTCCTACTCCTTTGTCTTTTGCTTCACAGAAACCAAAGCAGGCTTGAGAATCCACATGAGTTTTTGTTTCATCAAGTGAAAACTGCTGGGCCCATGGGGCAGGAAAGAAAAATCCCAGTCTCACATTTGTTCAGCAGATGACTTATTGGCTAGGGAAGTATTGTCAGATGAGCATGCGTCCTATGCTCTTCCTCCACTGTCACTCGTATGAGTCAGGAGCTGAATGTATCAAAGTTGCTACCTTCCTGATTGCCCAAGAGCAGCACAGAGTACTGAGAATTTCATGATTACAAATACCTGGAAAGCCTTGCCTGCTTTCCCTAGGCCCCGCATAGAAACCCAGGTACCTGGTGAGAAGGACAGCCACATCATGATGGACAGGGTTGAGGTCACTCTTGGGGTTGATGCTCTTCTGCCACTTGCAGAAGCTGGACAGTGTCTTCTCTGCATGATGGACTATTTTCAGCCCTTGCTGGAGAAAGAAGAGGAAACAACTGGCATGAATAAGCTCCGTGTAGACAGGTTTCATGTGCATTCATTACCAGAAACATCCAAAAGAAGTGATCTCAGATTTGGTGCATGAGACATTCAGCAGAAATTTTGCCGGGATAATGTTTCTCTGGACTGACATTCTGATCTAAACACTATTACCTTCATGACCACCACTAAAAGGACTTGAAATGGGAAAGCTTCAGGACAGAAAGTGTCACTTGTGCAAGCAGCCCTTGAAGAAAAATTAAGAATATAAACCAAGATCAATAACTACTTAAAGTTCTATTTCTAGTTACTGTCTGAATCCTAAGCTAATACACTTCCAAAGATCCACTTTGATTGCTGATGGAAAATGTATAGATTCTTCAATAAAAAGCTACCTTTCATCATGTGGTATCCTCTAAGGCTGGTTATTTCCTTGCCCATGGTTCCATTTTGGTCTAAGTAACATAATCTCTCCAGGCTCTGAGCAGTGAGGATAACTGGTCCTATGATAGCAAATAAGATGCTGTCATAGCCCTAGCCAGCACTCTCAGTGGTTTCTGAACTGCGTTGCAGCCCCTGAGTCATACAATTGGCCCACGATTCCTACCAAGGGTTGGAGGGGCTTGTTCCAAACAAACTACATTTGCCAAAGTGAGGAGAATGAAAAAGGAATGATAAGTTCTAGGGGGACAGCAGTTAAGTTTGAATTTTCAACGGACAGAAAGCTCCCTCCCCCATCCTTCAGGCTTCTACATTGAGCTCTTTCTTGTATAGAGTGGATTCAGCTGGAAGGATGACAATTCTCATTAGCCCACTCTCATCTGGGACTGTTATTATGAACTCAAATCAAGAATTTCAGGACGATTTCTGCACCAGAATGGGAGCTTTTTTCTTTCTGGTACTTTTGGGTGCTGAGGGCTGCACTCAAATCAAACAAGGCATGAAGAGTTGCAGTCGCAGTTGCATTTAGAGGCATCCAGGTCTCACTAGTCATGCTAATCGCCCACCACAGACCACCCTCCTTTCATGAAGACTCAAAAAAGTGGCTCATTATTCATGAAAACTCACTGAATTGCTTAGCATAAAAAGTAAATAAAAGAAATATGCTTCATTATTTAACAGTCCTCATCATTACATCATTCACATCATCAAGAAGAATAACATGTAATGATAAGGACTTCTTGGGGGTGAGCCAGGCCAAGGAGACTGTCCTCTGGTTCACTTACTCAGGCTATAGCTAGCACAGAGACCCACGCTAGGTGGAAACATATGGTTCCCATCCACAACAGTGGATTTGCATGGGTAAGAATGGAAGAAAAAGGAAGGGAAGAAGAAGGAAAGGAAAGAAGAAATAAAAAACACTTTTTGATCACTTACTGTGTGCTAGATACTTTTTTATGTCATTTAATTTGACTATACTCACAATTAGTTATAAGAAAATATTATTTCATAATAAAAAGCACTAAACTTCAAATATGGGAAGAATTATTTCAGAGGCACTCAGCTCAGAAACTGAATCCAAAATTCTAGAGCAAAGGTTTCCATATAAAATTTAAGGTTGCGGTTGGTCAGCAGCCTCACTGACGTGTTCCTTCAGCTGTACCTCCTTCACACAAGAAGCAGACTATCAAATAGAACAGTAACCATGATAAGATATTGTTTATGTCTATTTTAACCCTTTTTGTGGGGAGGGTTGTCTGAGAGAAGACTCATTACCTAAAAATACAACGTTACTATTTACAATTGTTTTAAGCCAATGAAATACTTAGGTATAAAATTAAGAAAACACATAAAAACTCTATAACCTCAAAATTAGAAAATTAGAAAACAAAGCCAAGGACACAAATAAATAAAGAAGCATAATATGTTCATGGATTCAGATTCAATCTAATAAATATATCCATTCTCCCAAAATTATCTATAGCTTTATTGCAATTCCTATCAAAATCATGCATGCCTTTTATAGACATATATGAACTCATTCTAAAATTTATATGCAAATACTCAGCTTCAGATTGACTAAAACATTTCTGAAAAAAATTAAAGTCAAGTAAATAACTCAATCTCATACAAATGTGTGACATGCAGCTATAATTAAGGCAGTGTGAAATAGGAGATAGAAACATAGATGAATCAAACTGATAATGAACCCTAAAATTCACCCACATAAACACACCTACAGATTTTTGGCAAAGATACAACACAATACACTGAATAATAGATGGGCTTTCCAATAAGTATTGTTGGATATCAAGCAAACAAATAATCTCATTAAAAATGAAGAAAAAGACTACAAATAGACATTTCTGGAAAGGAGATATATATATCTAATTAATAGGGATATGAAAAAGTATTCAATATCATTTATTCAGGAAAATTCAAACTAAAATCATAAGGAGATATTATTTTATACCTCTTAATATGGCTTTTATTGAAAAGATGAACGATACCAAGTGTTGCCAAAGGTGAGGAGAAGAAGAAACCCTTGCACATGGTCAGTGGGTGTGTGCATTAGTACAGCCACTATTAAAAACAGGATGGAGGCATCTAAGAAAGTTAAAGATAGAACTGTCATCTGATCCAGCAGTCCCCCTACCAAGCCTATATCCAAAATATATGAACTTGGTTGGATAAATAACCACAACCCCATATTCATTGCAGCACTATTATAATAGCCAATGTATGGAAGCAGCAGAAGAGTTTATCCATAGATGAGAGGACAAATGAAGTGTGGCATATGTACACAGAAAATACTATTTCGTTTCGTAAAAGAAAGAAATCTTGTTATCTGCAACAACATGGATATGGAGGATTCCATCCTATGTGCAATCCAGCACACAAAACAAAGACCACTTGAGCCTACAGGCAAGGAATCTATGAAAGTAGAGCTCAAACCATAAAGATCAGAGTTAGTAATGTAGGAAGATACTGGTCATATATTTAAAATTTTTGGTTCAGGCAGAAAAAAACAAGTTCAAGAGATTTACCGCATGACCTGGTGACTGTATATTTCAATATCACCAAGAGAGTCCAATTTTTTATAGTCAAACAAATTTTATTTCATTTTTAAAGAATACAAAATAGTAAAAAAAATTACAAAGATATCAAATTTCATTAAACAAAGTAACAGAAATTCAATAATGGTTGCTGTATTAAATGATATTATC